GCTCCTGCAAGAGGAGGAATTCATTTTCTCTCATTTGAATATTTTTGGGTGCAGAAAATTCTGACTGAACTTTCATGTCTGGATAGCACAAAGCAGAACTCCTCATGCCAAGACCTGAACTGTCCCCAAAGGACCATACAGAGCTATGGCCTTGGCTCCTGGAGAACCACAGCAGCTCCAAGGTAGGTGGCAACCACAAAAATTACAGGGCCCTCTGTAGATCTCTACAACTTCACCAGGCTTTCTGTGGGAGTGGGAGAGACACTTATCTGACTAAGGACACTTATCTGTTCCTTCTTCAGTCCTACTGATGACGGAGCATCTAATTCTGGTAGATGGACTTCTCAGTGGCACCAGATGACTGTGCACTATTGCCTCGAGGTCATTTTTATGTGCAAACCATGTCCCAGACTGACTTTCCTTTCCCCCAGGGAGGGAAGGGTTCCCTCTCCTCTCTGAAAAGCCAGCAGGACTAGTTATGAAAAACAGTGCTCAGTAACATAGCTCAAACTTGGCTGCTGGGTGCTGGGCTTTCAAATTCCAGCCCCCAGTGGATTACTTCCCGAAGCGCAGGAGGGAAAGCCATGGATGGATTATTTCTTGGCAAACACTGACTTTAGCTAGAGAAAGCAAAGGGGAAAATATTTAAGAAATTATTTTCTTTTCCCTCTGTGCCTGACCGCTTTCTTGCCTTCCTGAGATTCAATTTCTATAGCTGAGTTCCAATTTTCAGCTCTGTGCCTCCTCTCTGAACTAAAGATTGAATTTAGTGTGATAGAATCGCTGAAGAAAGATTGACCTACCTAATTCAGATCTTGGTCTACGTTCATGCTTCATCCTGCTCGTGTGTTTGGAGGTAGCTTTGTAGCTGAAATGCCTGGACAATTTTGATTGTCAGAGTGCAGTTCAAGAGGCTTCTTGCTCCTCCCCAGTCCTTTTCCCACTTCCTAAACCTGACTGCAGTTAGGATATTTATTGTGTATGCTATTCCATTGGGCAACTGCTCCTAACTAACAAGCCTTTTTTCTCAACAACATCATACCTTCCTAAACAGGGAAGACTTGAGGTTGCTGCAGGTCCAGAGAGATGACTCTAGGCAGAGATGGAAACACTAATACGGTCTTCCATTTTATCCCTATTCCCTTGCTTCGCCTGCTTTTAATTTCTTGAATGCCAGATTGAATCATGCACCCATCTTGTTCATGTTCCATCCCTCTCCAAACTGACAGGGAAAGCAGTAAACGAAGCTATGGCCCACACTCTGCTTTTATATAATGAAGAGTTCAGTGACTGATGCCATGGCTGGCTAGGATCAGCTTTACCTATCAAGGCATCCTTTGAAAAGGGGGTTTCATAAATCATTCAGCCATCACCATTTTGATAGTGCTCCCACATCCTGACCACAGGGCAGCAGCGCAGCAGCTCGGGCTGCACAGAATGTCTTTATTCAGGGGGTTGTTTTCATTTCTTTGGGCTGCCAATATCCTGTAACATTTCAACAGCCAAAGAACTATTTGTTCTTGGGCATTACTTTCTGCACTGGGAATCAGTCAAGTACATTTGCATGGTTAAATTTCAGTGACTTTGTTTGTTTGTTTAGGCTCTGATCCCCTCCAGGTTTTGAAAATTCACTTATTCCCTACATTTAGTTGAGCCTGATTCCTTCCATCCCTCAAAAATCCTGATGAAGTTTAAAATAAACCTCCCCTTTCAATCCAAAGTAAACAAACAGTTTGTGTCCTCCTATCCCGGTTGCCTGCCATGTTTTTGGAAGCAGGTTTCTTGGTTAACTTGCACTCTTGGACTGGCTGCCTTGCCTCCTCCGGCACGCAGTGAGTGCAGGCACCATGCTTGTCAGGGCTGGCTTGAGCAGACTTCCTGGCAGGACTTTATGGTGATGGATTAAGAGGAAAAGAAAAGAGGAAAGAAAAAAAAAAAGTTGATCTATGAGTAGCTGAATTTATGAAACTTCTTTCCTGCCATTTTGTGTCTGGTGTTTGGATTATCCTGGATTCAATGGTTTGGGATGCAGCTTTTCCCATGGCTAGAACACTAATAATAGCTCTGACTTAGGTTGCTTCTCTGGTGTCTAATTAGGAATAGGGGTTTAGCCCCAGTATCAACCTGAACATAAATGCAGGCTCTTTTCTACTTGCTGGACTATTTCCTTCTGTGAACTTCATATTTTTCAGAGTATTCACATATCTGGTTCAAATCAGTTGTTGGACTTAATGATTTTTAGAGAGCCATAGGCAAAGAGAAAACAGTTGCATGTGTAGAGATGATCACATAAACCTCACTTTCTCAGGTAAACTGGCCAAAAATCATCATCATCTGGTTGGCTGCAGATTCACCCAGGAGTGCAAGAGTTTCTTTAGTTGAGGCTTTGTCACCCCCATTGCATTTGGTGACATCTTCCACTCCCTTGCTAGTAAACTACAACAAACTCCCAGTCTCTCTCTGCCTGCTTCCACAGAGCTGTGGTGGGAAAGGGCTGTGGTTGAATGGCCATGCTTCTGCTGCTCTGCATCCAGAGCCTTCAACTCATTCTCTTTTTAGAAAAGAAAAGAGGAAGAATCCTTGGTTCCCCTTTCGTTTGGTCTGTGTTTCCAATTCATTCTCAAAACAGCAGCAAATCTCACCTTCCTCACCCCCAGGCCCCAGAGGAGCAGAACACTGTTAATTAATTCTAATGAACATCAGATGGCCAGCTCCTCTCTTTCTGCATTGGGACAGGGGTTACTTTTATCTCCATCATTTTCTTTCCTTGATCAGATTTCCCCCCAGCTAAATTAAATCTGTCCTCTGTTTCAATTGATTTTTCCTTTCTTGCTCTCTTTTTAACAGAAATAAGTTTACATAAATGTAAAAGCAACAAGACAAGGTCTCGGAACAGACACATTGGCTGTCTAATGTGACCCAGGATGCTCTAAATCAATTGTAGTGCAGTTTAATTTATATTTTCATAACTCATTCAGTTCCTCCTCCCTTCTCCCCTAACCCTGAAAGCTAAGTTTTATTTAAATGTCGCCAGATCCTGGGAGACTTGGATGGAGCTGCCTGGCCCATTGGACCATTCATTTGATGCAAGAGGTGGAAAGTCTCAGATTTATGTCACAGGAGCAATATTTCTTACATTAGCTATTTATGGATTTACACATCTTTGCATTTTCTTAACAGTAAATAAAATAAATAGTAGGCACCGAAGGCCTGGCAGCGTGACAAGAACCTTTGTAGGATGCAGAACAAGGACAAAATTAAAAGCAGAGAGAGTAAATAAATCTTTGGGCAGGACTTCTGCCACGTGGGTGATTGCTGCACTCTGTGCATTGCAGTCATCGTATCTGTGTAGGGTCAGGGGGAACAGACGTTCCCTGCAGAGGGGGTTCTTGCCATGCAGCTGTAACATGAAGCCAGCATCACGGGGAATGTGGTATGGGAGAAACCTGGAGATAAACTGGGAAATAGATGGAGCGCTGGTAACACCTTTGGTTATGAAAGCTATTTTTTATGTTCATCTCATGAACTTGGAAAGTCTTAGGCTTGTGTAGGTAAATGTGATTGCTACCAACAGCAAGCTGGCTTAATTATTTGAAAAAAGCATTGGGGTTAAAGATGATGAAAAGCAGTATTTGTATTTATTTGAATGAAAACATAATTCAACAAGATTTTTTTTTTTTTGATTGTGAGAAAACCTCAGAAGTATTTACACTGTCTATTGTATACAGCTCAGGCCAAGGAAAATCCCATTGACTTATGAGACTCCTTAAAGAAGTGCATATAACAAGACTACTCAGCTCTATGCTTGCAGGATTTGGCCCTATTTGCGTACAGCATCAGGGGTGCATGAAAAGCTGTGATGGAGCAAATATGTATGCGTGAATGTATGCATATATACCCACATATAAAAAGTATAAAATATTTGCTGTCACCATAGTGACAGAGAATATGTGTGTGTTGCTGATGCCTTGGTAACAGCCTTCTGTGTATGTCTGTGTGTGTGTACACGGAGTTACCATGGGATTGGGTGTGGCATATACTTAAATAGAATAAGTAAAAAAAATAATAAACCACATAGGCATAAGAAAGCCCAACAGGACATCTGTCTGCCAAATCATTATTCCTTTTACACATCTCCCCACAACCCCAGCACGCAGAGCAGCTCTTTCCCATAACTAAGGAAGACTGAAAAGTCTTTGGAGCATCGTTTTCTACTGTGCTCATCTCCATAACTTCACGTGCACTAGGCAAATGACAGATAAAATTTAAAGAAAAATAACAGCATTACAACACAATGGTATGTGGGCAGGAATTAACACTGTTTTATTCAGTGAATCCTTTTGCCCTAAAGAATGAGTACAACAGAGCACCAGTAATAGTGCACCAGGGAGAAGAAAGGCAGAGTGAAGTCAATTATATCTACTTAGGTAAAATCATGCTCTAGTCCAAGTGATAAAAAATTCCTGTTAGTACACAGCAACCATCAACAATTAGGGATAGTTCTATACCCCTGATTTTCTAATACAATAATTAGTAACACCATCAATACCTAAACTATTTCAGCAAGATTAATACGTTTGTTGGGTGCCTTCTGAAATGACAGGCTACTCACATTCATACCCAGAATTTAAGGGTGTCATTGCTACCTTGGCCTTTTTCTGAAAGCCATCTTGAATCATTAAATTTAGATATAGGTATGAGCAGTCTTGAAATTAAGTAGTTCCCCAGGTTCCAGGATAAAATCCCAAGCCCTAGGCAGCAAACATCAATCATCTGAGTACTGGAGCAAATTTTATTTGTCTCTTACAAGAAGTTACTAAAAGTCTTAAAGTTTTATGAAACAAAAACAGGGAGGAGATGGGTTTAATATTTACTGTGCCTTTTTGTCAGCACTGCTGATCCTGAATTTATAGCTTGTATGTGATCATTATAAATTGTACCGTACACAGTTGCCCATTGACCCAAGTATCTGTAAAACCCTTTTTGGAATCAACCACAAATTTTAGAAGAAAGCACATTTGCAAAGGAAAAGGTAGTGAAATGCTCTGGGTAGAGAAGAAAGAACAGTCTTGTTAAGCTGTGGTTCTACCATTAGTGAAAGTCACTGGTTTTAGATTAGGCATTATAAAGCAGCACTTCAGGACAACTGTTGTTGCGTGAGAATCATGAGAAAACTCTCCACATCAAAGCAAATCAAAGTTATTACTTCCATCCTATGCAATCATGGCCATGAACCCAGGGTTCCTTGAAATTCCCTTCCTGCATTGATTTAAAAATCATTCTCACTGGTTTTATTAAACTGGAAGTGTAAATCCTGGCCTGACTGTCATTCCATCTCAGTTGGTAGGAAATTATATTTAGCAGTGATGAAATTAATGCCTGAAAGGATACAATAAATAGAGGAAGACTGAGGGAGAGAAAATTTCATATGGAGGAAAAAATAAATAAATAAAAATAACAGAACAAGGAGCAGTGTTGCATTAGGCTGTGTTTGATTGCAAATGGCAAATGCGACCCTGATGGCAGCGCTCTGCATATTGCTCTTCCAAGTACTCGTGCAATCAAAATGTGGGAAGTCTCCCTTTGGAGCACGGAGGCATGTTCCTGCTCAGAGCTGTCTTCAACACTCGCTGCATACTAAATTGATTCTTTTCATGTTTCAGAAAGTTTGATTAACAATGCTTGTCTCCTTGCCCCTGCCTGTACCAGTGACAGTTTTACAGGCGGGTTTTTCTGCTGGTAACTGTGGCTGCAAAGTACTTGCTCCGTGTAGGCCAGTGAATGTCCAGTCTATAATACACAATTTTATTTGATGTTCCAGTCTTGTTAAACGTCAGCTTTCTGCTGAGTACTGTGTGTGATACCAGCTCTGGGAAGCCTTTTTTTCCTGGAAGCTTGTACTGGAAACACACAGGGCTGGAGTTTTACCAGAGCTCGGTAATGAACAGCTCTGCAAGATAATCCTTGAAGCTTCAAAAGATCTCCTCTCTAACTTGATTATATATTTAAAAGGAATCAATTTTTAAAAACAATGAACAGTTTTATAAGCATTAGGAAATACTGACATGAACGACTTATTTCTGCAAACTTCTTCAGCTCTTATGGAGGAATTCTGTAGAAACTCGTAGGAAAAGAAGAAGTCCCTGAAGAAGTTTGGGGTTAGAGGGTTAATAGAAAAATCATATCTCTGGTGTGGAATTTATTTTTTCTCAGTGCACCTCAGTATAGCATTCTGTTGGACATCTAAAGGGGAAAAAAAAAAATCTATCAGAAAGTAACATTTTCTAATCTAGTTGACTACAGTTCTGCCCTGCAAATAAGTAAAGACTTTCTCATCCCATGAATCTAGCAACTGTGAACGGCAGATAGGAAATAATTTGTCAATAGATTTCCAGATACCACAGAGACATGGGAGGTTAGGGCAGGTACACACCTCTGCACAGAACCATAATTTGTCTAATGCTTTCTTTAGCAGCTCAAGGAAAGCAAATAACGTTTCATGAAACTTTTCAGGGGAGGGCAATGAAGAAGCAGGCCCTCAACAGCTGCTGCCTTTAAAATTGCTTTTCAGGTGTTCTCAACACTATCTCTTGCCTGCTGTATGGACCAGAAGCTAAAGGATGACTTCAGGTAAGAGACCAAAGAAAAATAACTCCATTAGTTCTGAAGACTGCTCAGTAGGCTACATGTTGAAATCAGAGAGTACTTTTTCAGTTTACATTTTTAAGGTAAATATAGGCAGCCAAATGGACAAAATAAGTCAGGCTGGGCCCTCAGTTCCTTCAGCCTCTTGCAAAATCCACCCTAGGGTCATTCACTGAACCAATAAAGGAATGGCAGAATGCAGTACTAGTTACAGCCAACATCCCAGTGATTTTATCTGGCATGAAAAGAAAGTCCTAAACACCATTAAATGCAAGAGGCATTTAGCCTTCCCTGGCAGTAAGTTTTTGTGGGTTTATTTATAGCCTGTTAGTGCTTATAGAAAGTAAAGGGAAAATAATCTGAAACAGAGTCAGCAATTGCATGGCCAAAGTTAGGAAATCAGCTGCTCTCATAACAGTTTGCTCCTGGTCCAGGATACCTTGTCCTGCTCTACTGCCTGTCCATCCTCACATGAGTTACTCTACCCATGCAGATGGGTTAAGGGGTAAAGGGCCTCAGGAAACCTGCATTATCCCAGCAGAAATTTTAGCTAAAATATAGAGAACACAGATATGTTTAGGGAGAGTCCAGAAGGCAGTTGTTCTCTCCCAGAAATATTTTGGTAGAAATAACATTTTCCCTCCCTTTTGGATCCAAATCACCTTACTAAAACTTCAGTATTTTAGGCAAAAACTATTTTGTTTCCATTAAAAAAAAAGTCTATTGTGTAAAAAAAATAGAGAGAAAAAGCAGCCTCCAGACATAGTCACAGAAATGCTATGAATTGTGACATAGCATTGGCAAAACCCCATGTCTCCTACCCAAATATTTACCCTTCCCTATGCAGGAGACCCCAGCTTTCAATCTCTTGCATGCCTGTGAGAGAGGGGAAGGGGAGTAAGGGAGCTATAAATAGAGCTGCCACAGGAGGCACCAGCCTTCCTTGTGATAAGATGGAAGAAGAGTGCAGTCTTTCTTGATTACTAATTGAATAACTGGATTACAGGCTCATCTGAAACCCCAGGCCTGGATTAAATGATGCCAAGGTGTCTGCTGTGGAGAAGGTCTCCTCTCTGTCCTCACTTCCAGGAGAACAGAAAGAAGCCTGATTTCCAGCAGCTGATGCCCATCAGCATTAGGGGAAGGAATTCATTTTTGCAGTCAAGGCTCAGGAGGAGGTGCCACAGTGTATTTAGGGAGCCAGGTTATGTGGTGAGTTGTGTTCCTCCTGTAGTATAGGTCAGAGAGGGTCTGTGCTGCTGTCCCTACACCAAGCAGCTTTCCTTGGGTGAAGGTGCCTCCAGGCTCAGCTGAAACCTGCCGGGGAGCCTAAACAGATAGAGGAGCAGCAGAGGAGAGGTGGGCAGCTTGTTTAATGTTCAGTTAAGTGCTGCCCTACTCTTACCTTTACCCCTGATTGCCTTAGAATACTTAAAGCTGTAAATAATACTTAAAACTTTCCTATTTCTAATATCAGACTATCTTGTGTTGGACCAGAAGTGCTACCCACAGCTAGCCCAGACCTGCGGGAGATCATTTAGAGCAGCAGCAGGTAAAAGAGCAAGGAGATTTTACCCCTCTCGTATGGATTGGAGTTGAGGTGAATGCCTGGAGTCTGCTTGCTTTCAGCTGAGAGAGAGGACGGAGCAGCTGTACAAAGCAGCTTGCGGAGGGCTCCCTGTTGCTGTTTTGAGAAGCTGTCAGATGAAAGGAGTGTCAAGGACCACAAAGCAAAGAGTGGAGGCCACTGATGGAAGAAGGTCTGTAAAATCTCATCTACAAGTGTGGCAGAAAAGCATTGACAGGGAAGGGCTGACCTGGGCAGCTGCTGCAGCTTAAACAAGAGAAGTGATTCTTGAAACCAGCCATTAGCAAGCTGCAAGTGGAAAATTCCCTCCCAAGTCCTGGCTTTTCAGAAAGGGAGAGGTTAAAAAAACATCTTAAATCCTGCAATACAAACGTGCTTAGAGCATGTGTGTACCTGAGACAAGGAGCAGCACACATCCCCTGCTGTGCGGTGAAGGACGAAGGTGTGCTGTGTTGTCAAGAATATTGCAGAACCAGCTCCCTAGAAAAGAGTGGAAAACTTCTACATCAGTCCATCAGCCGGGTAGGCACTGTGCACATTCAGACCCATCACAGCACGTGGTTCGTGGGAAGGGATAAAGGTGTTGGGATGTATGTTGGGAGGAGAGCTGTGGGAGAGCAGGTCACTGGACATTAAAGAAGGGACAGTAGGCCTTGAGGTAGAAAGCATCAGTGGGAACAACCCTGGCTCGTTTCTCTTATGTACACCTGATTCTTTTTTGCTAAAAATCTCAGCTGTGAGTTGTTCTGGAGCTCAGAGTTATCTGGCAGGTTTAATCACAAGGTATGTCATGTAGGAGATGCTGAGCTCATGTTTGACTAATGCTGAAAAGGGCAGCTGGGCCCCTGATTTTGGTGATCAGAGTATCAGCTGTGTGGCCTGCAGAACAAAATGGCTTGGCTGCTTCCATTTAAGCAGCAGTGAGCTGCAGAGCACAAGGAGAGGAAATACAAGGTCTTAAATGAATCCAATTACTCATGCCATTAATTTAGATTTACTTGAGTAGTTAGAGCATGTTAAATAAACAACAATTGATTAGTTAGATCATGTTCATTTGAAATTTAACCATGAGTGGATGGATATTTATCTTATAGTGTTTCCCAATAGCTTTCTGTCATGTTTAAAAGGAAGTCATTCAGGCTTTTTGGTCCTAGATTTTCAGTTATTCCCAGGATTATTTTTTTTTTCATGCAAGCCTTTTTCCAAGGTTAAGTGATGGGGCTGTAATGATGGCAGGGGTAGGCAATGCTTTTTTGCTTGCTATGATTGAATTAGTAGCACAAAAAAGAAGGAATGAACCCTAAGATTTGCCTCTGGTTCATGTGAAGAATCAGTATGGCTTGAAACCCACACTGGTTGCAGTGGTGTAGCAGCAGGGAGAGGGAACACAATCCTCGTGGACTTTGCAAAGAAGTCAAACTAAGAAAGCTGGTGGAGCAGACATGCATGCTGAAGCAGCTGAAGAACTCTTTTCACATTGACTACTTCATGTATATGGGGTGGTATGGGAGGGGAAAAAGAATTTTTTTTTTTTTTTTCTTCTAGAAGCAAGGAAAATTTCCCTTTCTCCCTTTTCCTTTGGATAAATCACTGTCTTCCCTGTAGCTCACATCTCCTCTCTCTTCACAGATAATACAAAGTCAGATGCATCTTTATGCAATATTTTCCCATGACGTGTTCTACCTTAACCTTTTCCCTGTGTAAAATAAAGCTGGGATTATCTCCAATCTGAATTGGCCTAAGTACACAATCTCTGACCGAAAAAAAAGTGAGAAATCATTTCTTCTGGGACTTAAAGTCTTAATCTGAACCCAAGTAAAATGATTATAAAGTAATGTGCTTCTTAACCGCATTACTATCAGACAACATTTCCTGCTCATTAATGTTTCTGAGATTGCTCCATGGATAAAAATGGAATTTTAAAAATAATTTATTTCCTCTAGTGGAAACAGAGTTAGGAAGTAGGTACATTTAAAAGCAGAATACCCTCTTATATTTGGGGGTCTACATAGTATTCTCTCTTGCAGATACATCTTGATTTTTATCATACATCTGTGGATCTGCGTTTCTCCTTCCATGAACTCTGCATTTATTTCCAGTCAGTCTGATTTCTGTGAGCTGTTTTTCTGATGCAAACACTTTGAGAATACAAAGGTAAAGCCCAGTTCTCCCATTCGTGGAATATATGTGTAGAGAGAGCAGAATATTAAAATAAGCTCTGTGTTGTGAATCGCAGAAGCATTCTGCCCGTGTTTTATAGATAAGTAACAAAGGTTTAGATGGCAAAACTGGTCTGTTTACTTGCAGATTTTATGCTTCTTTTTATTTGGTGGTCCTCACTGTATATCAACTCAATAGCTTTTACCTGTGTCATTTTCCAAGTCTCTGAGTGCCTGAGTCAGTCTTTTTCAAGTATGCCCTTGTAGATGAAATATTATCTTCTCCAATGCATTTTTAAATAAATTAAAGTACTTTCAAGTTCCTGCTTGGAGAAAAAAAATCAAATCTGGCAATTTTGTAATATTTCAGTTGTGTTCGGGTTGTAATTCAAGCAAACAGCTCTATGTGCAGTCTTCTAATTAAAATGAACAGATATTATCAGCTTATTAAATTAGCTTCCCATCTGGTAATTTCACTTTTAAAAATAAAATCTATTCTGCTTAGGGGAAAAAAAATGAAACCAGCATAGCAAGTACTGAACTCATCTTGATATTGACAATGCAACAGTCTTTCAAGAGATGAGGATGACTTTGCAGTAGGGAAGAAGTCTGCTACTAGAAGGTGAGGACAACTTGGTGGAGAAGAGGGTGAGAGATTGATCCTGAATACTTTACTTCTCTGGATCAGTTTAAATTGTAGGAGTTTTTTCTCAAGCTTCCAGTATTGTCTTGTCATCAGTCTGTGAGTCCTACATGAATGATTCCTGCTCATATTCTAAATAGCATGGGTAAGTTTAGAAATAGATGTATTTTACTGATGTATTATTGCATACGAACATTTGATATTCCAAAAAAGAGAGTTCAGTTGAATAGTCATTTTATTGATGTGAAACCATTCTCACGTCACTCTTGGTTCACCCTTGGTATCTTCTAGCATTAGCAATGGTGCCCATTCGGTATATGAGGTGTAGGTTCAGGTTTTCAAATCTGATCTCAGCTCCATCATCACCCACCATGTCAGGGATGTACCCTCCTTGCAAACTGTGACACTGAGTTCCCAGCACTGAGCTCAGCATGTGCTTGCACTTTCTCCTGCCAGGGGCAGCAGCAATAACGTGTGCTCCAGATTAATCCATGTAATTCTCGTCTGTCTCATGTCAGTACTAAGGGATGTGCTGAGAGCCGTTGTGGATACCCAGGGACAAACATCTGCCCTGGAGCGCTGCTCCACAGGGAAGACAGCAGGAGGAATTTCTTGATCTCTGCAGCTCAGAGTTTCCTGACCTTTTCAACTGAAGGATTGCCTAATCCAGAAAAAGAAATATAAAGAAAAAAAATCCAAATACACTGTGATGCAGTGCAGCTACATGAGTTTTCATTTGTAAAAACCTAAAAGAAGACTGAACTTTGAATGCTCTTGAATTCATTCTTCTCAATTTTTTGTTTTGCATCCATGGGTGTTCATGTATATAGTTTTAAATCTCCTTTTTTTTTTTTTTTTTTTTTTTTCTTTTCTTTTCTCTTTCTTCTTCTCATGTGCAAAATCACTTCCCAATGCATTAAAGACTCCCCAGGATCAGAGGCCCACAGATAGGAAATACTGCTCTGGCCAACCAAAGTATTAGAGAAGAAGACCTGCTCCACAATCATTCATACCCTTTTCCACTGCCAAAGCCTACACAGTGGGGGAGCAGGAGTGGACCAAATAGAGGCCCACAGTCCTGAATGTTTTATGAATCAGAGGAATTTCTGGGAAAGTAAAATCTAATGGATAGCATCTGTTGTACCTGGCAGCAGTAGCCTAGGATAGATTCAAGTTCTTACGAGCTTATTTCTTATGACTCACAGCCACCTTCCTGAAGAAGCAGAGTCTGTAAGATCCTTGGGAAAAAGGTCTGGAACCCAGCACTCCGGTTCTGGGCAAGCAGGGTGAGAGAATCCAGGCCAGGTGACAAGGATAGATCCATCATGTCAACATTTCCAATTTTCTTGGCTCCCCACTGACTGGAGTCAATACACGAAGAGCAAAATTACAAAGGAACAGCTATAGAGAACCATCTGCTGGAAGAGAAAGTCATATAACTGGAACAATTACTCAGCTGGCTCTATGCACTGCTTTTGGCCAAGGGGCCTCCCAAATGGTCATGTTCACTTCTGAGAAAGGGGATGCCTCAGCTGAGACTGGGAAGAGCAATGGAGCATGGGGAGCAGGAGCAGCTCAGCCAGGACCACTGCAGCCACAATATTTTATACATACAATGTAAGAAATAATGAAACTTCCTTTTTTTTTTTTTTGCTTTCATTGAACACCTCTATCCTAAGTGGAGACAAATAATGACTCTTCCAGGTCTGAGATGAAGACCTCCTCAGTCTGATATCCACGGGGACCCTGGCTCAGCAGTGACAAGGCAGTAGCATTTCTGCTGGACACCAAAGCAAGAAAGGCAATCTCAGCCCTTAATTTATTGTGTTCAGCTGCTTTCCCAACAACACTGCCTCCACAGAAATGGGGAAAAAAAAATCAGAGGAGCATTTCATTAGCATATGAGGAAAGAAATTCAATACAGATGACATTTGCTTTGCAAAGCAATAAACTAGGTTCAATCTGTTTAACTGTTAGGTACTCTTAGGATTTAGCACAGAACATTTTCAAAACCCCATTGCAATGTTAAAAAAGGAGAAATGTGAGGTGGAGATGAGGAAACTGAAGCACAGAGGTTGTGAGAGACACCTCCGAGGTGGGCAGTGGCAGAATTGCAAGCTGGGACTATCAGGCTTTGGGATTTTAGCCTGGGAGTAGGATATGTCTAATGCTTTTTTTGTTGGGTGAGGAGTTGGTATGTGTGGTGGACAGCATGGTGATTCTTCCAAGACTCAGAACACTACAAATCTGCTTTAAAAAGGCAGCTCTTTTCTTATTTCAAGGGAGTGTGATGGTGTTGAACATGTCAAGTAAGGCATCTCCGCAAGAGTGCACATCTGCTGAGATGTGAGATCCCCAACTCCAGCCTGTGTCAGGAAATAATTTGATTCCTTGTAATTAGATTCAAAGGGCAGCAGCTCCCATTGCTCTGCGTAGGTCAGTGATCTCCAATAAAAGGCAACTGAGAAACCAGCCAGACCAATTAGCACGTGAGCACCCAATCAATTACTGTAAAATGACACAATGTGAAGCAGAATAAAGCCCTGGCCCGTGTTATTTCTGACACAAACAAAGCCTTCCAATAAATATCGGAAAGATATGCAAAATACCTGCCTCAAAGATGTTCAAAAACCACAGCTGGCCTTTTCATGAAGGCTTGCAGTTGTGATCTAGCACCGGTTGGTTAAAAGTTCATAGTTTCCATTATACTATATGCATGTGTATATGTACGTAGCTATGCGTGCAGGTATGGTGGGGCTGGGTGCCTCTGTTGGCATTCTCTCCCTAGGAGGGGTGCCTGCCGTATGTATCTGTGTGATTGAAAAGTCTTGTTCATTAGCTCGGGATGCTCATATTGTGTATATTCTATTAAGTACATATTGAATATGCATCTCATTTTCATTTCAATTAGGATCAGAGGGCTGATTTCATTCATGACTATAGATTCCTTCCAGGCCATTTGCATTTTATTCTGTTCATTATTATTTATGTGCTCTGTGCTCTCAGAGTAATTTAAATATCCCTCTCATGATTGCCCCCAAGTGATGAATTATATGCCCTCCTTCAAAAATCAACACAACAAGCGCTGTGTTAACCCTCTGAATTTCCTCTGTGTATTTATGGGGTCTGCTGTCCGCGGGCCCTAGTGCCTCCTGTTGGGTTAGGAGCAGGTGATCTATCACACGGTGAAGACGATTTACAGCATGACAAGCCATCGTACCTCCTGTAGTGCTCCAGTGGAAAGACATATTTTGCCCCCAGCCCCAGTGTGAGTATTTCCCAGCTCTGTCAGGGCTCCGGGTGTGCAGGAACAGTCCTGTCTGCAGCCAGCATGACAGCTGAACTACAGATAACCCATCTCTTCAGAAAGGCACTTGAATTTCACTTCACCTCTCCCTCCCCAAGCACACCCTCTTGCTTACTGTTTCAGAGCATCATAGATTTAATTAAATATTCTGCTCCCGTTTTTATAGGAAGGCTGCATCTGGCTAGCTGAGACACCATGTTTAAAGTGTTTTTTTGTTTGTGTTTATCTTATTTTTTTTTTTTTAAAGGAGGTTTTAGACCACTGGTTGCCATGTACAGATACGTGTGACTGAATTTGCCTGGTCCCTGACCTCCACTGAGATGAGTGAAGAACTGGAGATCCTTCCTGACACGTAGAGGCTCCCCAGTGCCTTCTGATGATTTGACAGGTACTGCCTAAGATCAAAATTTGCACAAGCCTTAGCTCGGAAGGGAAACTTCAAAAGAGCTGGAATTGCAGTTTAAATTGCCAACAAATTGTGTTTGCATTGGAAGAGGTATGCAGTGATTAATTGCTTGCTTAAATGTAGCTCTGCATCTGAAAAGGCTTTGGGGGATATAAGGAGGTCGGCACATTAAATCTGACAGTAACATAAGCTCCTGTATTGTTTTGATCTATCTTAACAGAGCTGGAAGGACGCAAACGTGTGATAATAATAAAATACAGACTGAATGCATTTAGGAGTAGTAAAAAAGTTGTTTGCTTGAATAGGTTCTGATGCAAATGAAAATGAAAAAAAAAAAAAAAAAAAAAGAGAAGAAAATGAGATCCTTATTTTCTTAAACAAATTACTCTCTCTGTCCGCAGTTTAGGCTTTTGTCCACCCATCAGCTAATGCAGCAACATCGTGCCACACGTACTGTCTATGTACAGAAAGGAAATAATGAAACCCCCACTGCTGGGTCTGCTGCTGCTGTTTTCTCCTCCTGAGGGGAACCCTGGGTGTTCATATCAAGGTGCAGCAGAAGGCAGAAAGCTCCAAGACACTTCTTCAAACACACATATTAAGGACAGGTTTAAATGGAGTGGATGTTGTCTAGTGATTCCTTTTTGGTTCTCCAGTCACCACATTAACTGATCTATAATTGGTGTCCTGGTTGCTCCTGTGGGGGACCAACATGGAAGCAAAGCTCTCCCAATGCAAGCGCAATCCAGGTGCTGAGGATTCCCATCTGGACAGCAGGACTGGGGCCATAGCAGCTCCTCAGCCCATAGGTACCTAGGGTAGATAAACAGGGGAGAGAGGTGTAGGAAAGAAAGCAAAGAGCAAATAGCAAAGCTTTCCTAACTGTACTAGACTTCCTTAAACAGAACAGGGAGAAGGAGACAATAGCCATGATTTTAAATCCTTATAGCAAAATGTGCATAAAATTATATACATTTGCGTTTTTCCCAGTAAAATTATTTTGAGGAAACACGTTAATACCTTCTGTAACATATGTCAAAGTTGCTGATCAAAGCAAGCCCTTTCACAGTTTTCTGTGTGTAACTAGGTGGAGTTCCAGCTATTTATTTTTATCTTTAAAATCCCACCTGTCTTGTGATTTGGCCATAAGACTGACGGATGCCCTTTCTCACCAGGCTGCTGAAATCAGCAGAATCCTCTAACTGAGCTTTGCTTAGTTCTTTTCCTAAGAAAATTTAAATAAGTTCTCCATCTCACTGCAAAGGAGGCACAATCTGCACCAAACGGTCCTGCCCTGGAGGTTTCTGCAGCTATTGACTCTATTTCACCTGTGCTTCAAATGACTGATTTGAATTCACTGAAAATTTGAAGTATCCTGGCCGTGAATGCAGGTGGAAAAGACTTAGTCCACATTGTCATCTGTTGGTTAAAGACAGACCTGAACTGTAAAATATGTCTCTGAATGAGCCATAAGTATCCTCACCATTTTATCTCAATGCCTGCTACCTGCATACCTCACGTTAAGACCATCTAATATCTGTACACCTAGATGTCCAAAACCCATCACAAGCTCAGAAACCTAATAGCAGGAAAGGAGGGAGCAAGGGCTCTATAAGGTGTCCCTGGCGCTTGCTCTTGTTGCATCAAGCCAAGGACGTGGTTTCTGGAGTTCTTGTTGTCTGTTGTTAGATGTAATCCGCTCTGAAACCCAAGCCAGTTTCCAGGTCACATTTGTGAGCATATCTGTCATCTTATCTGGATTTTCAGGGTCTTGTAAACTGGGCAGCCATGCTTAATTACAAGCTCTGTTATAAATGTTTCTTATTCCCCCAAAATGAGAGAGGGGGATTTATTTCCAAATAAATCCTAAACTTTTTCTATATACAGCTGTAGCTGAGAATCTCACCTCTTATTTTCTGTCTTCTGGGATGTGCCAGTGAGCTACTGGGAAGATACATTTGCTCATTTCATTGTTGCAAAAATAAAAGCCTATTTGGCTTAATGTATAAAAGGCCCTATTGACACCAGAGCCTATGCCTGATAGAAGTCAATTATGTTGTACATACCCCTTGAAAAAAAAGAAAGGTTCGTGCCTCTTTCATATGTAAACCGTGTATTCCCTAATTTATCTTGGAATAAATGCTATTAAGCAGCCTGTAATGCAGCAGAGGAGATCAAAGGGCTGTGTCCTTGCCTCTCCGCAGCAGCCACTGAAGATGCTGGAGTGGTGCAGGCTCCCCGAAAACACGCTGCTTGGCTCTTTCACTCCTTGAGCCTAAGTTACCACCTCTGTCTACAAAGGCGAAACTGCGGGCTGCACGATGGAGATAAGACACCGAACTGAAGCACTTGCAGATGGCAGTCGCTATAGAACAGCACAAAGGCCTCTTTAATTAAGTCTTCCCTTCCCCTTATTAAAATTCAGGAAAGATTACCAAGGAATTTGTACTGTATCTGGAAAACAAATCATAACAATTACAGCAGGCTGCCCCAGGCTGGCTAGATTGTAGCTTATTATTCCACAAAGACTTGATAAATGTGTAAATTTATATAGAAGGCTTCTGCGTGTCATCATTGCTGTGCAAAGTCTCCCTGCTTTCCATATTCAGTTTTAGAAGGAAGACCAGCTGGCTAGAGTCCCTTGAATTATTTGCTGTTGTTGTTGAATTTTTAAAATACATATAAATTATGTCTCCCATCTACAGTTTATCTACAAGCTGTCAAACTGGGACTCATTCATGCTCTTTTTGATGTCTACTGTAAATCCATCTAGCAGCACGGTTAACCCGCTGGCCCCACATCCATTAAACATCACAAACAAACAACTGCATCCCAATTATAAACATGCATTTTTAAATGCCACAGGCTTCTCTTTAAGGAAAGAAGCAAACTTAAAAGCATAATTGTTTTGTACCTATGAGCTTAATTGCTTCATAGTAATAAAACAGGTTGGTTTGCATATGTGCACATCCCTAATGTCAGTCTGTGTTTTCCCTCTAGATGATTAAATGGTGGCCCGAGGAGGGGGGCTGGGTGAATCAACCATTATGTGCAATCCCACTTAAAAGGGCAGCTTTCAACAAAGATCAGGGCTGGATTTGTTCCTCTTCATCACATCCTTTGCCTGTATGATTCCATGGTGAAGTCTGGAGCCATGGTGTAAATTATTGATAAGACTCATGGATTATTGTACCAGGAGGGACTGTTCAGATCATCTTGGTCAATTCTCCTGCATAGAACAGACCAGAATACATCTCTGAATTAACATCTGGATGAAGATCAGAGGTTTGGAAGCTGTGTCCACGCTTAATTAAAACATATCCATCACTAGATAATCTACTAATGACCCGGGGGAAATGTTGCTAGTGGCCACATTGTTTAACAGCCATCTCTTAGTCAGAGTGCAGACAGATCCAAATGCAGCTCTTAGCTATTTGATTTTGCTCTGCTCTTGCTTGCAACACTGAAGAGCCCTCATTTCTGATTTTTGCTTCCTTCTGCAGCTATTGGAGATGATGATACCTTGCCCTCTAAGTTCATCAGCAAGGCACTAAACAGATGAGATGTCTTTATTATTACTATTTTTGGACAGGTAATAGGTTATTCTAACTTCACATATTTTCTGAACCCTCTATTTTTTCAGCATCCTTCTTAAAGTGGGGGGATATCATAACAGGACATGCTATCCACTTATGCTGATGTCTGCCCCTGGTAGGGTCTCTCTGCCTTTACAATTCTTCTGATTTTGTATCTGAGACCTCAGGTTTCAATGTTACATAGGGATCTCCTTCACTTGCTCCTGCAAGTTCGAGCATTTTTGCAAATTTTGAATGATTTATATCATGCTGGTTCCATGTGTAAGGTGCCTTATGCTTGCGCTGGAAAACAGGAAAATGTAGATTTTGAAAGATAGTCTTTACATGTTCTATTTACCAAATCCAGCTCAATAAAATGTGAGGCCACCTTTCTAATAAATATCTTCCCAGTAAACTTTGGCTATTGCTCAGAGGTCTCACTGGAGATTTCTTCATGGTAATAAGGTATCTTAATTTTGTGCTTCAGTGATCTTTTCTATTCCACACAAAGCTGTACCTGCTAATTCTCTTTTCTCTCATAAGGCTGTTGTTTTGCCAGGACCTTGGCGCTAGGATCAGTGCACGGGTACAATTAGGTGCTGTGCTAATGGTGTCAAACTACAGAGATTATAATTACGTGTTTAAAATTCTTACTACAGTCATTCTCAGAAAAATGGGAAATTTACTCGGGTGGATGTTATGTCTCAACATTAGTAGACCACTATCTTTAAGCCACAATGTGTAGATATCAACTAATAAGGGGTTTATAAGTCCCAGCGAGGCTGAAGATGTTTTTATTAAAGTTACTAATATTCATTCCAGAGGCATTTAGTTTTAAAACAAAATTCCTTTTCTAGTATGTCCCCTTCTTCTCTTTTTGCAAGATTTTAAATGTTCAAATACATGCAAATACTTTTTACAAAGAAAATACCAGACGTTTCCACAGTGCCTGAGAGCTCAATGCACTATGTGAGCACTGCAAATATTTAAATTATGTTCCTACTATTTCAGTGACACCTTGAAGCTAGGACTTCAGGGTCTGAAAACACTATGCCATGACATCAGCTTAGCTAAATCAAACTTAAGGTCACATAAAACCAAGCTACACCCCTACAAAATGTGCAAATCAAGGCCTAGGACTGTATATGATGTGGCCAAAGCCATGATGAGAGGCAGAGGAAGGGAAAACACAAGGGTTTCTGGTTTTGTTCATTTTCTTTCTTTCTTAATTTTAAACAATATTTGTCATTGAATCTCCATGTAAATAATCAAAAGGAAATCCTCAGCAACCTCTCCAGGACTAGTTCTTATTCTTGCTTTTTATCAAAAACACTCTGGCTGGTGTTGTCCACTGAATCAAAGTTTTCAGCTGATCATGAAATTAATAAATAAGGTGACACATTTGATCTCCACTGTGGATGAGATTTCCCATTTCATGCTTCAGTTGCCTGAAGTAAGAATGAGAGAGAGAGATTTTTTTTTCTTGTGGTTGTAAGGAAAGCTGATGAAAGATTACCTTAAAATCCCTCACAAGGGATGAACAAGCAAGAAAGATTTTTTTTTCTTCCCTTAAAAAAGATAAAAGCAAAGGAATAAATAAAATAGAAGGGGGCACACTTTATATTGATTTTCTGGGTCTGCTTGCATTAAGGCATCATTCTCCCAGGACTGCAGGGAGAGAAAAGCTTAAATGAAGAGATGAACAGATGCCACCGGCGTGTGGGCTGGCTACCAACACGAAGTGCGGATGCGGTGACGCTCGCCTTGCTGCCCACCTACGCCTTTCAGGGCTTCTGTCTGCAGTCAAGGCTCTTCAGAGAGCACTCACAGCCTTGTCCCTGAAGATGTGTTAATTTAAAGAAAAAAAAAAAAAAAAAGAGAGAGAGAGAGAGAAAGGGAGGCCTCCTGTTCTGGGGAAAAAAAAAAAAAAAAAAAAAACACTCACAAAACAAAAAAATGTTGCAGGTCTGGAGGGTTTTTGCATAATTTTGCAAAATATGGAGAAGAAAATGTGGAAGAAACACATCTTTTATTTCATCTGATAAAGTGGCCTTTAGTCCAGGAGAGCTGCAGAGTGCCATGAAGAGACTGATGCCCTTCAACAGCCAGAAAAAGAAATTCTAGCCTGGGCATATATTCATGCACGTACATACAGATGACCCAGCCATGATTTTTAAAAATTATTCCATTAATAAATATTTAGAAAATTAAATTAAAATAAAAATAAATAAATAATGGATAAATTATCACATCAAAGCAAGTGTTTTGTTTGTTTTGTTTTGTTTTTTTAATTTCTATTGAGAAAGAAAGACAGGAGAAGGCCTGCAAGTTCTCAGATATAGTACTTGCAGGGATGAAAGCATCTAGGAAAATACAAGAGATCATTACTATTACTTAGAAAATGGTTTAATTATGTTTTTTACTGAATGTTTGATGTTGGATGGCACAGTGCATTCTTCAGCAGCTCATAAAAGATTGGAGCTTCTCCTTCAACTTCATAGGTTTGAAATGACTGTCGTATTAGTACAGAGAGGGAAATGCTCAATTATTCTGTGAAGTGTCTTTAAGAACATATGGAACTTCAAAAAAAAAAAAAAAAAAAAAAAACAGAAGAAAGAAAGAAAAGAAAATCTCTCACCAACAAGAGGGAAAAAATGAATAAGGTCTGTGTTTCCTTTTTCAGAGTACCAAATCACTCACTGACATAATAAAGCATCTATATGAACAAATAATGTTTTCCATGCAAGAGCAAATGGAAGGTGGGATGAATATTTTGAGGAATTATTTGTAAGACCAGTGTGAACTGAATCATGATAAAAATAAAGAAATAATATTAATACAAGTGAATTGGGTAGATATTGGAATAAATTAGTCCAAATATACTGTGCAACAACGGTAAATGGATATGTAAATAATTTCTAGGATACATTTTTTTGAAAGATATTCCCAAGATTTTCTTACTCTGTTCTTCCAGACCAAAGAGACTGTGAGTACAAAAGGTCTAACAAAATGTTAGAAAAGTTTTGCTTAGGACAAATTCTTCTTTAATACTAATGAAATATGTCAGTTCTGTGTTTTAGTTTCTGCTTAAAATGCCTTTACCTCTTTACAGTAATTTTAGTATGCTTTGTTATAGGCATACCTAGCAAAAACGACAGGGGTTAACTCCATTTTCCACTTCTTGGTCTAGCCTTAATATCAAGAAGAGTGTGGTTTTCTAGTTTCTCCTTCACCAGGAGCTACATCCTACAGCAAAAAGCTCATTATCTCTCACTGGTGATGAATTCGTGAGCTGAACAGAAATTTCTCTGCAGTTGAAGAATGTATTAAATGTTCCTGGTATACATTCTAGCAATTTAATGAGTTTATGCGTATGTGTGTATAAAAATGTTAATTTATAAATAAATCTTTCTCCCCCCTATAATTCTTTATGCCATAGTAAGTTAACCCCATAAGCACTGGGTTATATTACTTTATAGAGTTTGGGTTCTTTTTTCCTGTTCAGCCCAAAGAAATCCCAGGCTGCTTGATGCCACCTTTGAGTCTTGGGCTGGGTAAACTCAGGCACTATCAAGTCTTCAATTTATGTGGGCTTCTCA